CTTCCTTCCTCCTTTTCTACCTCTTTCTCTCCCTTATAATTAATACTTTTGGACATCATTATTTCCATGATCGAATTTACCAACATTTCTGAATAAATTTTTTTTGTCAATTTTATAGATAATGTTTAATTACTCTGTATTTTGATTTGAAAATATAGCTTGTATCAAAGTTTCTTGCTTTTATAGCCAAGATGTTATACCCAGCATTGTAAATGCATGCTACCTGTAACAGATACTTATTATGCTGTATTCTCTCCCCCTTTTATACTGGTGCTCTGGAAATAGTTCATTTAAGTGCTTTGATATGCTTTTCTTACAGGAGATATCTTTATGTAAAGTAATATTACTCTGTCATTTCAGTGTTAGACTTTAAAGTTTACCATCAGTCAAGAATTTAAATGAATGAAGTATGCTTATATGAGCTTTCTGAATATGAATGTCTTTAGAAGACACAATTCAGAATGCTAATTCTATGCCTGTGTATTAAAAACAGTGAAAGAATGAATACAAACCGAAATACATAGAACTTCAGATTTAGAAGGAATATATTATTTTTCTAGAGGCTTTGATTATATGATGCCATTTTAAAAGAGAAAATTTTATTCAATTAACCTGTTTTCTCTGTACAATGCTAATAATTTAAAATTTTCAGAGACTGCTTGTGTTGCTTCAGTTTACATGAAAAATAATATTATTTTGAAATTTTATTTAATAGACTTTAAAACTGTTTTCTAAGCTTTAGTGCTAAACTCCTACTCTTTAATTAAATATGAACTATTTCATACGACTTTCTTTTTTTCAGACAGATCACTTTTATCTTAAGATTTAATACTGCAAGAACCAGAATTTTGAAGCCAATACAACTGCCCTTAGGATTAGATTTGTATTTTAAATGGCAGTTTTAGCCTAATGTGTCAATTCCTGTAACCAAGATAGCAGTAACACCATATTCTACAACCAGTTTTGACTTTTTTGAATTTGAGTTCATGTGAAGCAGGAACTGTTATTTATAGTAAGTATAGCAAAGAAAGAGCTATCTCCTTTCTCAGGTCTTGGAAAGTATATTGCTGTGTTTTCTGAATTAGAAAAAATAAGGTTGCCTTTACTTTTAAAAGTTATTTGAACACTATTTTTGTCAATCAGGAAAATTCTAGAGACAGCTTGGTATTATTTAAGAAAACTGAAATCCATCAATTATGGATTTGAGGAGTCATTGATATTTTGGTTATTATATATTTTTCTCTCTATATATCTAGATTCTGTGCAAAGCGGATTAAAGCATACCAAGTATAGAAGTTTGAGTTTATAATATAAATATAAAATGTAATGGTCTATTATGAGTTTCAAAATATTTATGCCATTTTGACTTTGATAGTGATTATCTTAAAATTTTCAAACCAAAAAAATTATTTTCTTAATTCTTTGTTTGAATTCTTATCAAATATTTTCTTATAGCCTGATATTTATAGGTAAAGATTAATTCATAATAGTGATTAAAATAAATATAGATTTATTTGTTTAAAAACCTTTGGTGTTCTGCTTTGTAGTAGTGAAATATTTATGCTTGTTGATATAGTCACAGGACACAAGTTGGAAAATTCTTAAGAAAATTATTTCACATTTAAAGGCAACATTATATTGCAATTTTATAAGATAATCACAATAGCAGTAACCAACACTCTTAAATATTGTTTTTATTCTAGAAAGCTAAAATAGCCATTTGTATTTAAAACAAAACAAAAAACAAAGCAGCACCTGCTTAATAAGTTACTTTTAAACTAGATTATTTAAATCCATAATTAAAAGAAAAGTAAGAACATTATCTCAACTTTTTTTGCAACAGATTTCTTCAAAATAACTCTGTTACTATTCATCAGGTTTGCTTTAATTATAAAAGCATTTCAGTGACTCTGTTTCAGTCTATAAGCATAATAAATTAGAATATAGTAGATGCCTGATTGTTAGAATGGTTGTAGACTGGTGTACTTGGTAAATTTTGTATTCTGGTTATTGAGAATTACCATAGACTTGTCAATTTCTAAAGAATTATTATTAAAGCTAAAATCAAGTGGCTTCTTGAACTTAACTTTTTCTAAAGAGTCAAAAAGACATTAAGCAGCTTTGAGCATCTTGAATAAATATACGAACATCTCATATTGTAGAGTATTATATTTTAGCTAGAGAAATGTTTTTTATGTCCTTTAAAAAATATACTTTGATATCAATTTGCTTGTCACTTGTCTATTTCTTATAAAATTTAGAATACATAAAATCCCCTTATTTGTATAGTTTAGGTATGTGAAGTCTGTAACAGTGGAAGTATACTATAAAAATAAGAAATTAAGGTAATGATATGAAAACATGGATAAGACATTAAAGAAAATTTGAGGAAATCTGGCAGTTAACTTGGAATATGCTTTTTCAAATGTTTACTCTTGTATTTTTAAAAGTATAACAAAATGTATAGAGAAAATGAATCTTACATTAAAATAGTTGTCCATGGGCCAAATACAATTTTGAAATATGTTTAATCTGTTCCACATAATTTTTTTTAATTTGAATTATTTGCCAACACTTACAAGTAAAGTGATTTCACATAAAATTCTGGATTTCTAGCTTGTCTTGTAAAAGTTAAAGCAGAATAAAGGACGTTCCAATTATTCACAGATCCTATCCTCTTATACCTCCTTGTTTTATACCGTGTCTGTTTCTCTTGTTCATTAATGGGAGCCAAATGTAGTATAGGAGTAAAGAATGTGAGTTCTATAGCCAAACAGTATGGGTACAAATTCTGGCTTCAACACCTGCTAATCGTGTGATGATAGACAAATTACTTAATCTCTCTATTCCTCAGTTTTTTTCTTGAGTAAAATAAAAATGATGATGAAGATACTTCATAGCATTGTTGGAAGGATGAAATGATGAGTATACACGAAGCATTTAGAGTGGTTTCATTAGCATATACTCATTGCTCAGTAGACGTTAACTGTAATTAATAATGCTTTTTGCCTGACCCCATTAGGCATTTGAGTTTGGTGATCCTTACTTCTCCTTAGCATAAGACTTTATTTCTTAATCTGTTCATTTGATTAGCAGAATTTATCAGATATAATTGATCATCTGCATTTTACTATCCTCTACTAGATTATATTCCCCAGAATTCCTTCTGTATAGTATCAAAAATTCAACTGAGTAAAATTGAGGAACTAATTTGCTTTATTTAGTGATTCATGAATCAGGCAACATCCCATCTAGTAAACAGAGAGGAATTCTAAGTTGCTGTGCAAAATGAAAGTCTTCCATAGGCATAAGTGGGAAAAGAGATTGTTTCGGGTTTAGGTAACCTGGGTATAGGGTCAGAAGGGGATTAACTCATAGTGGTGACCAGGTAATTCCAGGTTGACTGGTTAAAGGTTACATTCCTGGGAGAAGCTGAAACTGCAATTAGGTTGGGTATTGGGTCTTGGTTTGCTGATGTGGGGCTTAGCACAAGTGATTTCATTTTAGGCCTGTTGTTTCTTTTTTGCAATTGTAAGAATTCAATATATGTTGATTGATTTGCATACATAAGTGGATATTGTCTAGATTTATGGATTTAGGATTTATAGCTTTAGGAATTCTTACTGTATGTTGGCAATGAAAGTCTTCTTCTTTCTCTCTTGTTAATTTTGCCTCTCTGCTTCTGTCAGTGTAGCTTGAAACTTCAAAAATAATTTAATTTAAAAAATCTTTAATCAAATCGTATTTATAGAAATGAGAATTGAGGAGAAAAACCTTCAAAATGATAAAAGAAAATATAGTTGGTCATTTATATAATCTTGCCTTTGTAAGCGTAATACCAGAGGCATAAAGGAGACATAGATATATTTGGGTACATAAAAGTGAAAAAAATTACTTATGTCCCAAAAATGCCATATAATTTGAAGACAGACACATTATGAAAAAAATGTTTGTATCATATGACAAAGGTTTAATATTCTTAATATTTAAAGCATGCTTATAAATCATGAAGACAATCATAATAATAAACTCTATCTATGAAAGACAATAAACATATGAAAGAAAACATATGCAGTCTTCAGTAATCTCACTAGTTATCAAGCAAATGCAATATAAGATTTGACTGTCTCAGTGGTCAAAAAAAAAAAAGAATTACTCGTTCCCATTGTTAATGAAGGTCCACAGGAAACAAATTGTTATGTACAAATCTTCCTAGAGCACAATTTGCCAAAAACATATCATCAAATTTTATTTTTTAAAAAATACATGTTTTAGTCCAGCAATTACAATAAGAATTTATCCTAAGGAAGGCAGTAGTCATGGATGCGACACAAAGATTTTGAATAACTGAAAGCATCCTGACTGTTTACTAAGAAAGAATTGGTTGCATAAATTGTTACAGCTGTATAATGGAATACTGGGGATGCATTAGAAGTGCTAATATAGATTTTTTTATGGGAAGGAAAATAACGATAATTTATATAATCAGCTTTTTAGCATGATGGATCACATTAAAAAAATACATATTTTAAACGCCCAGAACAAGGACAGGGATATATATAATAAACTGAAATGTTAACAGTAATACTAATATAATTATGAATGATTTTAGTTTGCTATATTTTCTACATTTTGAAACTTTCTATTGTAAATGTATATTCTTTTGGCAGTAAAACAAAAAGATGTTGCAAATGTGGCAATAATTTAACTTGTGATTTAACCTTTTGTGCAGTTTATTGACAATAAATGTGATTGAACATTGAGGTAAAAGGTTACCAATGAAATTCAGATTTGGGGAGAAATTCTTGAAATGGAAATTTAGTGTCATTTTTTGTTTCTTTGCATATGCCTACTAATGTGTAGTAACAACAGTCCTGGGAATATGTGGAAAACTTGTTAATGTCTGTAATGTTCATTTAATTATTTCAGTCTTATATTTATTCCCAGTCATAGCAGAAAGAACAAATAGTCACATATTTTTTCTATTTTTCATCTTCCAGGTAGTCACTTTTGGTGACGTTGTCCACTTTTCAAAATGTATCATTCCTTATCTGAAACTAGACATCCTCTGCAGCCAGAAGAACAAGAAGTGGGTATTGACCCCTTGTCGAGTTACTCAAACAAGAGTGGAGGTGAGTTTTGTATGCAGTTACATTCTGGGGTTGCTGGGAAACCTAGCAGAGGGTCTCCAGTTAGCAATGCCTGCCTTATTTATGTGTGCAAGTTCTCTTGATGAAGCTGAGCAGGGCAACTTTTAAGAACGTTTCCCTGGACAGGTAGGTATACAGCACTCTGAAACCAATGAATACCACAGAATATCGACTTTCAATTATAGACAGAAGCATTGGCCAAATTTTTAACGCACTATCATTCGTTTTTAAAAAACCATAAACAGTTATTTCAGCATCAGGCTGTTGAAATGCATAATGGTCTTTGTTAGACTTCTTTTAAAGCAGTCTAAGCTTTTGGTTTTGAGTTTGTAGGGATTTTTTCACCTCCAAAAAGTTGAAACTATTCCAGAATAAAAGACTTGCCTGATTCTTTTTTCTTTTTTTTAATAATTGAAATTTGTGTTGTACTTTTAAAGATCTATGCATTGAAATTGTTAAAAGATAGATTGGTAAAAGGTAAATTGTATTCAGTGTCTACCCTATAAAAATTTATTAAATGTATATGTGTCAGAGCTCTGTTATTATTTTCTCGGTATTAGTAATAATATAATATCTTAGAAGGAAAGGAGTTTTTGAGAATTCTTGAAGCCTTATTTTTAACTAATTCACTAAATATTTGATAAAGTTGATTTATTGACTCAGGTCTACCATTACGTCATGTTTTGGGAATTTTAAAAATAATTGATTCCTTAAAGTGGCTATTTCTTTAGTATACAAGGTCTTGACTTTATGGGGTTTATGTTGAAAACAGTGTAACTTGCCATACACCTTATTTTTGTGACTTTATTTTTATGTTTGCTTTTATCTAAAAAGTCTCAAAAAGACTGCTATTTAAGGTTTTTAAATATGAAAAATAATATAAAAATTATTAGTGTCACATTTCAGTGGTAAGAATGATAATCTACCTTCCCTAGTGATGTTTTTCTTAAATGAAATTCTTATAAGAAGCACTCATAATTAAATAAGTCAAATTATTTTTCCAAACACTTATGTAAGTGGGTATTTCAAAAGTGAATATGTTCTTGTGTTATAAGTATATAAAATAGTTTCACCAAAATTTTCTGGCTTATATGCTTATTTTAGAGCATAGGGTTTTCTTTTAAGTACATATTTTTCTATGGTCTAGTTCATTAAATATTGAGGCTTTTCTTTAAAAAAAAACTGATAAAAATATTTTAAATTAATTTTATCCTTCATTGTTGCAGGAATGAGTAGTTACTTTTACTAAAAAGACTTTTCGTTTATATCCTAGCCTAACATTTCTATGACATACAAAGTTATTAGTTCATTAAATATTGAGGCTTTTCTTTAAAAAAAACTGATAAAAATATTTTAAATTAATTTTATCCTTCATTGTTGCAGGAATGAGTAGTTACCTTTACTGAAAAGACTTTTCGTTTATATCCTAGCCTAACATTTCTATGACATACAAAGTTATTAGGACTGAATTGATGTTTAAAAGTGCCATTAATTCATTTACCCCAAATGTTCATTAACAATGTAAATGTATGCTGATGTTCTATGAGACAAGGAAGTGACTAATGACTCTTCCAACTAACAACACTTAAAATGAATAGAAACTTTAGATAGCTAATCTTGAAGTAATCAAGACCCTCATTCAGCTTGGCATCTCTGTATGCTCTAAAACAGCTGTCAACTGTTAAAAATATATACAAAACACACATACGCACACGCACATGCAGAAAGAAAGATATGTAAATATCTGGTTCTTCAAAGCCATAAAGGTTACTAACCGTAGTGGGTTTTGTGCATCGTATATGTAAATATTTTATATAAAGCATCTATTTCATCTTTTTTAGATTTTCTTTTTGCAGAAAAAAATGCAACGTGTGTTGCATTTTAATGGGGTTGTCATATTTACTTGAAAAATCATCACCTTTCTAGTATGTTTGTTTATTTTAATATATGTCTTTCATGGGAGTCTCCATGTTTTTGAAGGCTTTTACACATTTTTCCCACAAGGGAATTTGTGGCAACTGGATGATTCGTTTTGTAAGTAGTCAGACACTGGACTTAATCAGTGGTTTCCCTGTGTACAAATTATCTTTTTTTTTTTTGTAATTCCTGTTATAGATTCCATAAATAAACAAGTCTTTAATTTCTTAAATCTAAATTTTAACATTCATAAAGAAGCAGTACATTACTGAGATAAATGATTCTGTGTATTCTGGAAAGCATTAGCAAAAATAGATAGCCACATAATAGGAATGACAGAAAACTGCCTATCATTGGTATATTTTCATGGGTAGTTGAGGAAAGTGAGTGAGAACAGAAAAAGGCACTGTTTGGATATATACATGCAAAATCTTAGGGCGTATATTCATGTGAATTAAACTTTTAACTGCTTGAATTTTTGTTTTTCAAATAGAGAACAGCATAGAAAGTATGATATTTTCTCTGTGACCTATTAAATTTGGTTATATACTAAATTACCATCTTAAATTCCAAGATCTTTGAACAAAGGGTATTAATAATTGACAAGCAACCTGTAATTCAATTGAAACGATAAAGAAGCAAAAATGTTTGTTTAACTATTCGTGATTATTCATTCTCAGAATGTAACTTTTAATGATCAATTAAATAAAAAAAATAATCATTTTCTTTTAAACTGAAAACAACAATATCAAGATTAAGGGAAACTCTTAACCTATTAATATAATAACATTCCTGGAATGACTAGTTTTTATAAGTTTATAAGAGATTGGAATGTACCTCATGATGAAAGAACATTTTCCTCTATTATGTCTCTTTTGAGAATAGCATTTTGTTACATATTGCCAGAGTTTTTAGCTTCAATTTGATATGCCTTCTTACTTACAGCTTTTATAGTATTCAGATAATTACTACTTAATGTAATGCCTTTTTATATAATATCTGTTTCAGAGCTTTCTTTCTATCTTCATGTATAAAATATTTAGTAACCTACTTTAAAAAAATAATCCAAGATATTCAGAATATCCTACGTACTCCATTTTTGCCTCTTATGATTTTGTTTTTGTTCCAAATCTTCCTCTCTTTCTGTTATAATAGCACAGAGTTTAAGAACTAGAAGGGAGTGCCTGGCTTTTTTGATGAATAAGTTGGTAATAAAATAGTTCATTGAAGTTGATATAATAAAATGATGCTGCCCTGTTATGATCTTTAGTATTATTTTCCATGTAGTAAAAATAGATTTAGATATGTGTAAAAGGTGAATTTGTTTTGCTGAAGATACCTGGCCAAAGTATAGGATTTTGTCTGAATCATCTAATTCACTTTAAACCCTGCCCCTTGGTCTAATTGACTGGAGTCATCTTAGTGGGGGAAAAAAAATCTCCTTTTCCTGGCTTACAGCTCTTCAGTGGTTTCCATTGCACTAATCGTAAAATCCAAACTCTTGAACATGATATTCGTGGCTGTCTTGCTAAAAGTTCAAGAAAATAGATACCTCCACTGGACAGAGTCATTGTCGACTGTGACAAATATAGTGCTTTTTGTAATCTCCCAAGAATCCAAGAATCCATAGTCTTGAGTACGTACTCTATATTTCAGATAAAGTAAACGTATGCTCTATACGAAACTGACATTAGGAATAGAAGGAAAAGTTATAATAATACTTGAAAAGCTAAAAATCAGTGGAAAAGGAGTCCTGGGGTCTTAGAAATTTGGAGGAGATGCATTCTAGAGACAAGATAGCAGGATTTGTAGAGAGAGGATCATTATTTTTATTGTAATTATAAGGGGAAGGAAAAAAAGATGTTTAAGTACAGTCTGTTCATTATTCCAATGGCAGAGTTCAGTGAAATATCACTGATGATTTAATTTCTTTTTTGATAAGTCAGGGTGAGGAAATTTGCTGAAGGTGAATGATAAGATGAAGTGTTTGAAGATTTGTGGAGAGTGACAAGGTTAGATTGAGTTGGTAAAGAATACATAACCTTGGGGGCTAAGTTTAGATTAGACATTATAATTTATAGGTGATAACAAGCTTGTAAATTTGTATGATTATGTTCTAGATGCCAAATTCAGCACCTACAATTTAGCCAAAGAGAAAAGCAGGCAGGGCTTTGGTCTGGGTTGTATAACAGGTAGACCAGTAGACGAGGAAGTCAATGGTGAAATAATTCATTGATGGTTTGAGAAATAAGGAAATTTACTATCATAGAATGGGATTCGAAGAGGGCAGAATAAAAAATTTTGGAAGAGATGGAGTTAGGGGAGATGAAAGTAAAGAGTAGTATGATGGTAGGAGTCATGAAGGGGATATGGGAACAATATATAAGTGTTTGATAAATACATTAATTCAGTGGAACATTGTTTAATGGTAACCAGTAAACCAGATCAATGCCTTCATTAATTCTGTGCAATAATTTGGATCTACATTGTTTTGGGTAGGTTTTTGTTTGAAGTCTGTTTTTTTTTTTTTTTTAACTTTAAATACTTTATTTTTTTAGAACAAATTTAGATTCACAGCCAGATTAAGAGGAAGGTACAGATTTCCGTATACCCACCACCCATACATGCATAGCTTTCCCCACTATCAGCATCCTCCACCAAAATGGTACGTTTGTTACAATTGATAAACCTACACTGATACATCATAATCACCTCCAAATCTATAGTTTTCATGAGGATTCACTATTGATATTGTGCATTGCATAGGTTTGGACAAATGTATAAGGATGTATTTATCGTTATAAATACACAGAGAATTTTTACAAAATCCTCTGTGTTCTGCCTATTTGTCCTCCCTCCTACTCCTCTCCACTCTTCAACCCCTGGCAACCACTAATCTTTTTACTGTGTACATAGTTTTGCAAGAAGCATCTTTTTAATAAAAAATTTTCTTTAGATATCAAGGAGAAAAAAGCAGTTTAGATATATGAAAAGCTCTAAGTAAGGCTGTAAAGACCAAGGAAAGTGGTCACTTTGTTGAAGATAGAGATGGTTAAATAAATGAG